TGTCATGGGAGCATTTGATGACCTGGCACATATGCTCCAAAAATACTTCTGAACTTTCCAACACCACTCCCCATCCTGTACCTGACTTACGAGGGAAAGAAGCAACTATTGCTTCTTTGAAGCTTCAGGTAAAGGAAAACTCAATAATATACATTGTCTTATCCAAAATTTTGATATTCTGTTCATCATAGATTCTTTAACATATATTTTGGTTTTTTAAAAACACTGCATTGGTCGGGTGATGTGGGAAGCACTTTGGGAAGCCGAGGCGGGCGGATCACAAGGTCAGGAGATCAAGACCATCCTGGCTAACATGGTGAAACCCCGTCTCTACTGAAAAATACAAAAAATTAGCCAGGTGTGGTGGCGGGTGCCTGTACTCCCAGTTACTTAGGAGGCTGAGGCAGGAGAATGGCGTGAACCCAGGAGGCGGAGCTTGCAGTGAGCCAAGATGGAGCCACTGCACTCCAGCCTGGGTGACAGAGCAAGACTCCATCTCAAGGCCGGGCGCGGTGGCTCAAGCCTGTAATCCCAGCACTTTGGGAGGCCGAGACGGGCAGATCACGAGGTCAGGAGAACTGAGACCATCCTGGCTAACATCGTGAAACCCCGTCTCTACTAAAAAAATACAAAAAAAAAAACTAGCCGGGCGAGGTGGCGGGCACCTGTAGTCCCAGCTACTCGGGAGGCTGAGGCAGGAGAATGGCGTGAACCCGGGAGGCGGAGCTTGCAGTGAGCTGAGATCGGGCCACTGCACTCCAGCCTGGGCGGCAGAGCAAGACTCCGTCTCAAAAAAAAAAAAAAAAAAGACTCCTTCTCAAAAAAAGAAAAGAAAAGAAAAGAAAAACACTGCATTGCAATATTATTTATCTTGACTACTGAGTTTTTTGATACTTCACTTGCTTTCATCCCATTCTCAGCCTTATTTGGAAGAAAAGTCATCTGGGACACCTGGGTGGTGCTTATAGATCCACAATCCAGCGGGTGTCATGTTCCCCACCTGCTGGGTTATTATGCTGAGGGGTGAGATTACAACTCAGGTGATTGGAGCAGCCTTGACCATGACCCAGAGGAAGGAACTGCAGGGCTGCAGCCGGCCCCTTCTGGGCTTGTGAAAGAACAGCTTCTGGCCCTCTGAGCAGGGCTGTCACACCAGAGAAGGGGTCATTCCTAATCCTCTCTGGGTCATACGTTGGGGGGTGCTTTAAATGGATGATCCTGTTTTCCTGTTCTCTGGCCCTGTCCACATCTGCTTTATAAGGGCTCAGATTCCAAGAAGGAAGGAAGGGCTGAGGAATGACTCTCCGAAGCCCCAGGCTCCCTCTGTCCTTCTACAGATTTCTACCCAGGACACCAGACACGCCCTCTCTTTTCCTGCCCGCATATCTCCCTTGGTGTTCCCCAGAAGACTGGCTCTCTATAATTCTGTGAGCCCACATAAGGGGCCTGAAGACTGATCCCCAACAGCTATGAGCCCCCTAATTAGCAGGCAGACATTGGACAGTTCTCCTAAGAGGCACTCAACCCAGGGCCATCCAGCGACTTCAAGATACGGATAGGGCAGGGCTCCCTCAGGGGAGCACCGGTGATGGTGGGCGTTCCTGGGACAGAAGACAGCAGCTCAGGATGAAACAGAGGTTCTTACGAGGTTGACCTAAATCATCTTCCAGCCTTTTGTGGTTCAGCTAATTACGATGGAAGAAATGCAGGAATTCCCAGGAAATTTGTTAAAAAGACACATAACGATAGAAAACTTACCAGATTTTGAATGTGCTAAAGATAGTGTATATAGAAAACAAAATGATGACAAAAATAGCACTTATTGAATATTGACTCTAATTACCTCAGTCCCACCAAGGAAGAGGCCCTATTGTTATCCCCATTATGCCAAAGAGGAGAAAAGGTACAGAGAGGATCTGTAACTTGCTCAAGGTCACACAGCTATTAAGTAACTAAACTGACAGTCTACCCCAGGAAGCATGGGTCCAGGAAGGAAGAGAAAATCTAGAAATAGTGAGTAAGTATGCCTTAGAATGTATGATGTGTTACCAATTGTATTTTACATTAGAGAGCATGGAGGGAAAGGGGAGACAGTGTATATTTACAATAGGCACTGGTAACTCAAATTTTTGCACTACCCTTTATTAAAAGTAATGCTTAAAAAGGGTTCATCGGCCGGGTGCAGTGGCTCATGCCTGTAATCCTGGCCTTGAGAGGCCGAGGTGGATGGATCATGAGGTCAGGAGATCCGAGACCATCTTGGCTAACACGGTGAAACCCCATCTCTACTAAAAATACAAAAAGTTAGCCAGGTGTGGTGGCGGGCACCTGTAGTCCCAACTACTCGGGAGACTGAGGCAGGAGAATGGCGTGAAACCGGGAGGCGGAGCTTGCAGTGAGCCAAGATCATGCCACTGCACTCCAGCCTCAGCAACAGAGACTGAGACTCCGCATCAAATAAATAAATAAATAAATTTAAAAGATACATAAATAAATAAGGGTTCATTCTTGGCCAGGCACAGTGACTCACGCCTGTAATCCCAGCAATTTGGGAGGCTGAGGCAGGCAGATCACGTGACATCGGGAGTTCAAGACCAGCCTGGCCAACAAGGTGAAACCCCATCTCTACTAAAAATACAAAAATGAGCTGGACATGGTGGTGTGCACCTGTAATCCCAGCTACTCGGGAGGCTGAGGCTGGAGAATCACTTAAACCTGGGAGGCAGAGGTTGCAGTGAGCAGAGATTGTGCCACTGCACTCCAGCCTGGGTGCAGAGCAAGACTCCGTCTCAAAAAATAATAAAATAGGCCGGGCGCGGTGGCTCAAGCCTGTAATCCCAGCACTTTGGGAGGCCGAGACGGGCGGATCACAAGATCAGGAGATCGAGACCATCCTGGCGAACCCGGTGAAACCCCGTCTCTACTAAAAAATACAAAAAACTAGCCGGGCGAGGTGGCGGGCGCCTGTAGTCCCAGCTACTCGGGAGGCTGAGGCAGGAGAATGGCGTGAACCCGGGAGGCGGAGCTTGCAGTGAGCTGAGATCCGGCCACTGCACTCCAGCCTGGGCGACAGAGCGAGACCCCGTCTCAAAAAAAAAATAAAAAATAAAATATAAAATAAAATAAAATAAATTAAAAAGAAGGTAGACTTTCGAGTCTGACAATTAAGAGAGGCCAGCCTGGGCAACACAGCAAGGTCAAGTGCCTAAAAAAATAAAAATACATTAAAAATGTGTTGAATTCATTTAAATCGAACAATGTAGATACTTTGACATTTTTGGCCCCATTGTTTTACATTCGTTGGTGCTTAACGGTAGTGAGCAATCGGGACTATTGCTCTCCTCTGTTCTGCACCTCAGACAGCTGCAGTCTGTTCTCCACCCCCTCAGGGGTCTCCAGTCCCAAGAGACTGAGTCAGTCAATGCTGCTTCTCCACAACCTTGTTGTCCTGTTGTTTCCACTCCTTAAAACGAACTTTAAAAATAGAAAACCACAGAAGTATTTTATAAAAATTAGAAAATGTGGATAAGCAAAAAGAAGAAAATTAAAATGCCTAAAGAAGATACTGAAACAGAGTGGTAATTGAATCACCCCAGAGCCACCAGGGTTTAGGATGTGGCATGCATCATTTTATCTCCGCATTCCACGTGGACTCCTACATCTGTCTTAGAACACAGCATTCTGCTGTACAATGTATCACGATCATCAGCTGGGCCCAAGCGACCTCAGCATCGCTACTAATAACCTTCCAGGAACCCATCCCCTGTCTGAACCTGGTTTATTTCTCAAATCTTCCGCCAGAGACTTGGATTGTTTTCACATCTTCACTGGAACAAACACGGAAATGTTTATCCTGCGTGTCTTATGCATTTACTGACTTTTTTCCTTCCAGTTAGACCTTGACTACCTTTGAAAACCAACTCAAGGCCGGGCACAGTGGCGCGCACCTGTGGTTTGGGAGGCTGAGGCGGGAGGATCACTTGACCCCAAGAGGTTGAGGCTGAAGTGAGCTCTGATTGCACCGCCGTACTCCAGCCTGGGCCACACAACGAGACCCCGCCTCTAAACAAACAACTCAAGGTCTTTGGTCTTGCATTGCCGGGTACCTTCCGAACTTACTGTATAAAACATCAACCCCCCTCCAAAACAAAACAACAACAAAAAACCCCCACAAACCCACACACACACAAAAACTATAAACTCCACAATGGCAGAGGCTGCACTGTGCCCGTGCCAGGACTTGGGGTGTTCAGTCATCTCCCAGCCACCTTTTGACCAGGTCTGCGAGGATCCCACCCCCGCCCCCGGATCGCCCAGTTGTGCCCGGAGCGCCGGGGGTCACGGAGGTCAGCCGTGGTCAGGCTGCTCTAGGCTTCCCCTGAGGGAACCGCCCGCAGGGCCCACCTGGGTGGAGCCCCCGCCGAGGCTGAGGTCGGAACTCCGCCTGGACCCGGGCGCGTCCCCTGGGGGTCTGTTCCAGCGGCGCCCTCCTCCCCCGCGCGGGGAAAGCGCTGCGCCCCGCTGAGCCGCGACCCCAGCTTGACTCGGCTGCGCCTGCGCCGGCGCCGGCGCCAGCACCAGGGCGGGCAGCGCAGGGTCACCCGTGGGTCACGACTCCCTCGGCTCCGCTGCAGGGCGGGGGTCACGGCGCCCTCCCCCACCCACCCCGCACCCCGCGATCCGCAGGCCTGCTCCTTCCAGCGCTCGAGAACGCAAAGCTCCAGGCCTTTCTGACCGCGCACTGCGCACCCCAGAAACCCCAGGTCCCCCGGGACGCCCGGGACTCCTCGGACCCGCAGATGCCACGTACACCGGATCCCCCACAGACCCCTCAGCTCCCCGGCTTCCGCGGTTGCCCGGGAGGCTGAGGGGCGCGGGTCCCCGGGACGGCTTGTGGGCGGGGCCTCGCGGGGATTGGCCGCGGCCTGGATACTTTGTAGCACCCGCACCTTCTGCGCTGCCCCGCGCCTCCTCGCCAGCCCCGGGTGCGCGCCAAGCACGTGCGCCAGGGCTGAAGCGGTGCCGGAGGGTGAGGGGCGCTCGGGCAGGGGAGGGTCCGGGAGGGTGAGGGACGCGCGGGCAGAGGGGCCCTGGAGGGTGAGGGGCACGAGGGCAGGAGTCCCTGAGGGTAAGGGGGCCCACGGAGGGTGAGGGGGGCGCGGGGGCCGGGGTGAGGCTGAGGGCGGAGCCTCCCGGGCTGGAGCCCCAGGCAGCAGTTTCGGCCTCAGGGAACAGCGCGCCAGAAAGGTAGGGAGGCGGGGGCCATGGAGGGGGGGTCCCGCCACAGTCGGGAAGCCACGCAGAGCCACCTCCCGCGACCCTTCCCCTCCATTCAGCCGGAGCCGGGTGCCCCTCAGGGCACTGGGCGGACAGGCCAAGGTACCCCACTGGAACCTTTTTCCTTCCTGAAATGGCAGGAACCCCGCCCCTCCCAGAGCCGGTGGGGGTTGGCGTTGCAGGAAACCCAGGCCTGGGAGCCTCCTCTGCCCTCCTCCAAGGCCTCTGCAGCCTCTGTTCCCTCAAGGGACCCCGGGTCCAGGGCCTCCTGCCCACTGTGGCAGCTGGAAACGCAGAGCCCTGACTCGGGACCTGGGTGAGATGGCGCTAGAGCCCAGGAAGGGTGGAGTAGACGAGGTCGTGTCCCTTGGCGGGGCACGGGAGACGATGCAGGCAGAAAGAACCCCTCGCCAGGGAGCGCACAGCCTAGCTGGTTCTTTGAGGCTGTGAGGGTTTACAAACTTTTTGGAATAACAGTGTATTCCGCAGAAGTAAGATCGATTGGGAAAGGTTTTATGTTGGGAAAAGCAGTCACTGGCAGCTGCCTAAATGTCCTCAGGTGAGCCCCGTTAGAACAAGTCAAGGTGCCTCCTGTGTGGATGCAGGACCAAGCGTGTGATTGCGAAGTGTGTCTTTGACACTGTTTGGATTACGTATTGGCATAAGCAGTTTCTGCTGTTAAAACAAGTGCATGTATGTGGATTCAGATGGAAGGCCTTGGCATCTACTGGTGACCCCTGCACACAAGGTCCCTACCCTACTGAGCCCAGAGAAGGAGTGAGATGAAACATAATCACGACGTGTATGACAGCATGGAGGAAAGGAAGGGCAAGCAGAGCTGAGAGGAACAGGGTGGGCTGTGGACCAGGGTGCCAGGTGGAAGGTTCAGAGAAGTGGAGGAGCTGTTGCAGACAGTACCCAGCCCAGTGCTTGGTGCACAGCCGTGTTTGTTAAGGACTAGAGTATTTTGGGGATTAGAAGGAAATTCTAGAGGATGTCTGCTATGGTGGTGCCCTCTCTCGGAATGTGTGAGGTCTTATTCCTACTCTACAAGTGTCCATGGCTCACGAGCCGTGGCATCACCTGCTTTGCAGAGTGGGTTGGGCGATTGATGGAAAGGACGTGGTCAGTGTTGGCCATTCCTGTGACTGTTCTCTGTGTTGGCAGAGTGGCCACGACCCAGCACAGGATGCAGAGCTTCCTGACTCTGCTGAAGGAGCATGAGGACACCCACGCACCCCCAGCAGAGCTGGTAACCCTTGCAGGCAGACTGTGCCGAGATTTCCAGGATGACCTTGCCCAAGTGCAGCCTTTGGTCGCAGCCATTCTGGACAGCCCCCTCCGCCTGCACCTGCTGGACAATGCAGATGTGGCCCTGGCGTGTGCTCGTGTCCTGGACCAGCAGGAGCAGCATCAGGCAGCTTGCCGGCTCCTGGAGGTAGGCCTGGGCTACAGGCGTGGGGTACAGAGAGAAGTAGCAACTTCTCCAGGCAGCCTCCACCCATGCCAGGCACTGCAGTAATACCTGGGAGTTAGTAGGAACCCGTTGGCTGGAGGTCCAACCCCAGGCCTTGGAAAAACGTGGGAGGCGGATTTTATATAAGCTTAGTACACTCTCATGTTACTGAACTCTAACTAGTTTGGTAATCTGAGTTAAAACTACTCATTCGTCACATCCCTATTGAGTGGTGATCTGTGACAGGCATGATGCCAACAAAGTGAGTGAATAAAATGCAGTCCTGCCTTTGGAGAGCCAACATCTTAGCAAGGCATTCAGACAGACCCCCTCTCATTCCCTGGCTGCAAGTCTGCAATGGAGAACTCTGAAAAACAAAAGTATCTTTGTCACTCACCTGCTGGTACCTTCAGCCTCAACGCATTAGGCATTGAACCTGACCTGTGCTGATCTGAAGCTATTTACAGTGTTTATTATTCCAACTAATGTGACCACTGAACGTTTTGTGTGCTTGATGACAGGACACTGCCCCAGGTGGTGCTGAGTGGTGCATGTCATGTGCCGGATGCCTGTGTTACTTGCTGAAATCTGAAACATTCTGAATTGCAGAAAACGTGTGGCCCAAAGGGTTTCCAAAAAGGAATTTGAATGCCTATTTTTCCTTTCTTTGACCCTGTAATACAGTTTATGCATAATTCATTGTGAGTTTACCTTCAAGATACTCAGTTCCTTCCAACCCCACCCCCGCCCACCAAGCTAGTGTGGTGTCCTCCTGCTCCTCCACCTGTTCACACAGCAGCCAGAGGGAGTTTTTACAATGCAGATGGTGTCATGGTGTGCCCCTGAGCAGTGGCTCCCAGAGCCGGGGCCTGAGCCTGCTGCCGTCCTCTCACTTCTGGCTCCTCCCAGCCTCCTCTGCAGTGGCCATACCAGTCTTCTTGCCATTCCAACTTCCGAGATATTTCCCTGTCCCAAGGCCTTTGCAGGTGTCTTTCCCTCTGTTAGAGGCTGGCGCCTGGCTCTCCGTGTGGCTGGTGCCTTCCTACCCTTCTGGTTTCTACTTCAAATGTCAGCCCATGGAGGTGGTGTCTCCCTCAAGCTCCAGTATTGCCCCCTCATTATCCTTTTCTGTCCCTTCCTGTGTTTGTAACTAGAAGGTGGTTTGTCGGCTGGGCGCGGTTGCTCAAGCCTGTAATCCCAGCACTTTGGGAGGCTGAGATGGGTGGATCACGAGGTCAGGAGATCGAGACCATCCTGGCTAACACGGTAAAACCCCGTCTCTACTAAAAAATACAAAAAACTAGCTGGGCGAGGTGGTGGGCGCCTGTAGTCCCAGCTACTTGGGAGGCTGAGGCAGGAGAATGGCGTGAACTCGGGAGGCGGAGCTTGCAGTGAGCTGAGATCCGGCCACTGCACTCCAGCCTGGGCGACAGAGCGAGACTCCGTTTCAAAAAAAAAAAAAAAAGAAGGTGGTTTGTCACTGTGCCTTCCATCTGCCTCCCTTACTGCACTGAAGGCCCACAAGGCAGGGCCGCCACAGCCTTTCTCACTGCAACATTGGCTGACACACAGCATGACACCTAGAACCTAGCAGGGCTCAAGGTCTTTCAAATCTGTCAAAATAAATGAAGTAAACAAATGAGGGAGTGCAGAGTTAGAGTTGTAACAACTGCGGCGAAGGCAACCGCTGGCATCAGTGATGAAAACCCCCTGGAGAGGAATTAGAAGCTCAGTCAGGGTGACCCATGAGTATGTCTGAGGAGGTGACTTGTGGCTGAGACCTGGGAGGCATGAAGGGACCACCATGTCAAGAATGGGCAGCAACCCCAGCCTGTGCAGGGTGTTCCTGCCCAGTCCTGCCCCCAAGTCAGGGCAGGGGGAGGTTCCCATGCAGGTTCCCTGAAGGCTGCGTGCTGAGAGGAGATGGGGGCACAGAGCCATCGGCTCTGAGGGGTCACTGCTGAGCAAGACTGAGCCTCTCTGATGCCTCAGAGAGAAAGCTGAATGATTCTCAGCACCTCCCTTGCCAGGATGGTCCAGGCAACACTGTAGTTAAAGGCCAGTGTGGGGCCACAGGGATCACTCCTGTGGCAGATGACTGGAATTGAGGAAATTATGGGAGCCACACAGGAATCACGGGAGACCAGCACCAGGCATCTTCCATCATCAGCAAAGTCTGGTTAAGTGGATGGGACCCCTTCATCCCCCTCACCTTAGAATGTGCCAAGTACCCGAGGGGCCAGTACTACTGCTGGGAGACAAAGGTCTTTCACATAAGACTTGAATCACACATCAGGCCCTCAGATCACACCATGTGGTTATAACCACTGCTCCACCTCTCCTTTGCTGTTGGCCAAAAGAGAATTATTGGACTTTCCCTTGCCACGTGTGCCTTACCTTTGAGGTACAGCTGGGAGCTGTGCTCATCTTGTGTTTTGGGGAGGGTTGAAGGTTTAAAGGCAGACTGATGTGAGTGCATCTGCCCAAAGTCTGTGAGGTGACCTGGCAGGCCTAGGGTCATACCGCTGAGCCTGCTGAGAATGGAGCGGGGGCCGTCTGACTCACGCCTGCATTGCGTGGCCACACTGGCACTTTGCAAAATCAGTGGATTTGAACCCAGAACCCTGCTCTTCCCATCACTGCCTTCCCCAAGGCTGAGTCGGTTTGGGATGGCAGACGCAGGTCCCAGCAGTGTTCCAGGATGGGCAGGTGGCCAGGGCTCAGTACACTCTTCTTGGCAGGGGTGCCAGGTGCCAGGAGGCAGCCAGGAGCTGGTGCAGCTCTGGAACGACATCCACTACCATCTGGTCATGAGGAGGCTGGGCGTGGCTGCGCTCACCCCGGTGCAGAAGTTCCGCTGCAGGAAGAGGTAACCCAGAAGCCTTTACTTGTGCATATTTCATGGGGATCCCGAGGGATTAGATGGACCGTGCAAACCCCAGAGGGGCTGAAGCAAAGTAGAGGTGAGGAGATGCGGACGGGAAGTGTCCGGCAGAGCAGTAATAGTCACAGTGTAGTCAGCATAACATGGCTTCAGTGTGGGTCACACCTGTGCTGGATGCTGGTCACTGAGCTGCACTCTCCACCAGCCGCTTCAGTCAGCTGCTGGCTGGAAATGGATGGCTGACCGCAGGGTGACTGAGGCTAAGGCCAGGAGGTGGGCATCCTGATCATCTCCGCGCAGCATCCACCCAGGGACTGGCCAGAAAGGGGGCCCTCGGGCCAGGAACAGTGGAGGTGGAAGGCAGGTGGGAGCGGCACAGCATGTGTCCCCAGGTCATCTAATCCCCACATCTGGGCTCTGGGTGGCCACTGAGGGGCTGCAAGGCCTTTCAAAGAAGTGAGAGTGAGAATGTTGCCAGTGTTAGCACGAGTTACACGACAGGTGCTCAGAACAGTACCAGGCACATGATAGGCACTAAATAAGTGGTAGTCCTTGTCATCACCACCATTATCAGCACTAAATCTATGTTACTACTAGTAATTATTATTATCACCATCATCACCACTTATGGATGAGGAAACGGAGGCACAGAAAGGGTAACCTGAGGTTCCACACAAGAGAGAGGTGCAAAGCCAGGACTCTAGCCCAGACACTGAGAAATTGGAGCCTTTAAAAAAAATTCAGACAGGGTCTTGCTCCATTGCCCAGACGAGCATGCAGTGGCACCGTCACAACTCACTGCAGCTTCAACTTCCCAGGCTCAAGCGATCCTCCCACCTCAGCCCCCCAAGTAGCTGTGACCACCATGACCGGCTAAGTTTTAATTTTTTGTAGAGACAGGGTCTTGCTGTATTTCCCAGGCTGGTCTCAAACTCCTGGTAGCCTTTACTCTTCATCTCAGGTGCTCTCCACTGGTCAGGAAAGGGCTGTAGATCTTGCTGTGAACTCCTGACAGCCCAAGTCATGAAAGATTCCTGAGCCACAGGGCCTGGTCGGTAAGAACACTGGTCGCTGGAGGAAGAAGACGTGGGTACCTTTTTGGCCCAGAGAATGTTCTTGTGTGGTACCCATCAAACAGAGTGACGGAGTAAGACAAGTCATCAGAAGCCCTGCAGTAAATCAGCTGTGGGGTCTTCAGGGGATGTGACTGTAGCCCTCCGTGGGCATGCTGGCAGCCCGCCAGAGTGCAGTGGTGTCATCTTGTCATCTTGTCGACATGTTTGTTAAGTGTCCCCTGCCTGCTGGGTTCTGGGAGGTGCTGGGGATGAAGGCCAGGCTCTGCCTCCATGGAACTGACATTGGGATGTGGACAATGACCGACAGACGAGGAAATAGAGTAGATCACATAATTCAGAGAGTGAGAAGTGCTATGCAGAGAATAGGTTCAGAAGAGGGCTGTGCGAGGTTGGCTGCTTTAGATGGGGTGGTCAGTGCAGGCTGGTCCTAGTCTTGGAGGAGAGTCTTGAGTGTGGTGACGTGCCAGCCACGTGCGCAGAAGTTTCCAGGAAGGGGCAGCACATTCAAAGACTTGGGGTCAGAGAAGCTTGGTGTTCAGGGCCAGATGGGAAATATTTCGGGGTGTATGTGTTCACAGCCCTTGAAAAATGTAAAAACAATTCTTAGTCTGTGACTGTAGAAGCAGGTGGTGGAATGGATTCACCCACCCTGCCTTAGAGGCTGATGAGCAGCAGGAGGACATTGGGCCTGCAGCCATGGTAGCTGCTGGTTTGGGTTATGACCATGCTGATGGTCCCCGGGGGGTGTCAGGAAGGGATGGCATCTGAGTCACATCAGATGCAGATACAGGGATCAGGAGTAGATGCTGCAGTTTCTAAGAGGTTCCAGGCATGGCCCAGGGCTGGGATAGTGGCTGGGGAAAGTGGACAGGGTTGTGTCAGGGTAGATTTTGGAGGTGGATCTGGGGGGTTTGCTGGTGGGCTGAACACACTGAAGGAGGTAAAGAGAGGACTGAAGTAGACTCCAGGGCTCTTGGCCTGTGTGGGAACCACCAGGAGCATGAGAGTTCCTTCACTGAGGTGCGCAGGGTCTGGGGAAAAGTTTGGAGAAGGGGGATGGAGTTCTTTTGGGATTCGTGATGTGTGAGACGCATTTTAGATGTCCAAGTAGGCACTGGGATGACACGTCTTCTATAGACAAGTAATATTGGTGCATATGTCATCTTTTTCTTATGAAATATTCACATCAGCTCAGCACTAGAGAGGAGCATAACCAGCTGGAACACCCCCGGTGTCCAGCTCCAGCACTTCTCAGACATGTGTCCCTTTGTCATCTCTGTGAGTGACACTGAAACCCTGGTAGGGCACAGAGAAAGGAGGGGTCCTCTATGCTCAGGGGACAGACCTCTGGGACTTTGCAGCCCAGGGGAGGATGAGGAAGATTTAGCTGAGACATGGCCAGTGAGAGGAAGAGGAAATCCAGAAGTACACAGAGTTCAGAAACCAGTGAGGCTGAGGAGGTGCCAGTTAAGAGGAGAGCTGAGAAATGAACTTTGGATTTTGTGAACTGGGCAAGTGCTTTTAGTGGTAAGGTGCAGGGATCCAGGCGTGTCACAGAGACAGGGAGACAGTGGCAGTGATCCAAGATCGTTGTTTGAGAAGTTCAGCTGGGACGGGAGCAGAGTCATGGGGTAACCACTGGAGGTGAGAAATTTACAGAGCTTAGCAGCTCATGAGAATGACTTACTAGAAGAAATTCTGATGGTGGGAAGCAGGGAGTTAGTTCAGGGGAGCGTTCTTAGTGATGTGGGGGATGAGCAGGTGCCACGGCTGGAGCCCCCCTCACCAGGGGCCCCACAGGCATTTGGGGAGTGCAGAAGGGCTGGCAGGTTTGGTGGGGGCACAGGTGATGCTTCCCTTCTGAGAACATGTTGGTGAAATGACAACCAGATCACCCAAGGACAATGAGTCTTGGGAGGAGGTGTTGGGGGTGAGAGAAGAAGGGAGAAAGCTGACGTGGCCATGCAGGGTGGCAGGGGTGTGAGTGCTGCAAGCCTCAGAGGACTCATGCAAGAATGGGGCTGATACCTGGAAAGCAGCGATGAACAGAAAGCACTGCATGGGAAAGCACACACAGGGTGGCAGCCAAGTCCTGAGGACAACAGTGTGTGTGTGTGTGTGTCCGGGAGGGCCATCCACGGGAGCTCCGTGGGCTGAGGACACCTGTGTGTGAGTACATCCAGGAGGGCCGTGCACGGGAGCTCCGTGGGCTGAGATGCACCCAGGAGCACTGCAAGGGCCCACAGAGGGTGCTCCTCACAGCCGCCTATAGATGTTCTGGAACAGGATATGTCAGGGTTTGTACATGTCTGTGGGAGAGACTCTAGTTTTCACTAACTGGAGGCAGAGAGAGGCATCCCCCAGGAGGAGGCACAGGGAAGGAAGTGTCACCTTCTGCAAAGGGCCAGGCCTGGAGAAGGGAACAGATTTGGAGGGGTCCTGTCTGTTACCACCTCCTCACTGTCTTCACCCAGGAACCCTCCGCCCCCCTCCCTCTGCCCGGAGGGGCTGAAGAGCCGGAACTTCCCCAGAGAGGTGCGTGAGAAGCTGCACAATTTCGCTGTGAGGGTGAACACCAACCCCAGCAAGACTGAGAGGGTAAGAATAGAAGACACCAGGACCCAGGGGGTCCCCGCCTGGTGCCTCCCCCTCCCCCAAGGGGATACCCCCACCCCAGGCTCCTCAGTGGCCCCATCCCCCAGGGTGCTGTTGGCTTCAGCCGCTCCTCTGGACAGGGACCTTGTTGATAGGCAGGCCCTGCAGACTGTCCCGTCTGCCACATGAAAGGTTTCATTTTCTCACGTGGAGTCATAACATCGTGTCTGTGGCCCCACGGCTGCTCACTCAGCACCCACTGTGTGCCAGGCACCGGGACGATGGGTCGAGGCATCCCCCGGCCGACATGCTCTCCACTGCACAGTGGGTTTGTGCCAGGCACGGGCAGTGTGGTTCCCTCCAGTGGCTTGGGGTGGCCCCGGGCATGTTTTCTGGGTGGACCTAGCAAGGGCCCCACTCAGGGGACGTGCACGTGTGGCTGTGCAGACAGCCTGACCTGGCCTCACTGCTCAGGGCATGGGGATCAGCCCAGGGAGGTGAGGCCTATGTTCTGCTCATGCTCTCGCTGCTCCCTGCTGTCCTTGGAGAGGTTCGGCTGGACTCTCAGCCCCTTTCTTGGTGTAAATGAGCTGTCAGAGCCACTTCTACACACCCCCTGTCCTCAGGGAATGGAAGCAGGGCTAGAAGTGTTGTTGTTTGGGGGCAGGAGAACTTGGCATTGGAGACAAGCTTGACCCCTGAGCAGGTGTACAACTGGTTTGCCAATTACCGGCGCCGCCAAAGAGCCCTTCCCCAGCACATGGAGCCAGCCCAGCAGGCCACAGCTGAAGACCCTGGTGCAAGGGAGAGGGGTCCTGACCTCCTGCAGCCCTCAGGCAACCCCCATGTTGACTCTGGGTTTGTGGACAGGCCTCAGTGGTCAGGTGAGTGGCCCGAGGGCCCCAGTCTCCTGGTAGTTGGGGAGCTGATTTCTGATGGGCCGGGCTTAGGTAGCCACGCTGGTTACAGGGGTAGCCCTTCCCCAATCAGTAGGTTCCAGGTGTCCCTCTGTGGGAGCAAGATCACAGGGTCTGAGGGTCTGAGGCTCAAGACTGGCCCAGGTTAGGCTGTGGCTGCCCCTCTGCATTTCGAGGTCACTGTGTGGCCGGGCCAGGAGCTGGGCTGGGGAGGAGGGCGTCATGTGGCCAGAGGAGGAGTTGGTGAGTCAGTTTGAGAAGTGAATCAAGCACCAGGATTTGGGGTGTCCTGGGTTGGCAATTAGGGATCGTTGGTTCACACCAAAGATAGGACAAGAAGCAAAAATATTGGGATGGCCCCATGGCAACAACCTTTCCCATCAGCAGGGCTGCTCATACCTGCTGGGAAGGAGGCTGGGAACCAGAGCCTCACTAAGCCTCCCCTCCCATCTCATTACTTTCAGAGGAACGTGAGGAAAAGGGGCCTCCACAGTCCCCACAGACCACCCAAGGACCATGGGAGCCACTGGCCTTAGCCCCAGCCTTTCCTGCAGATGAGACAGTCTCAAAGCCACTGGATGTCAGGTACTATCATCTCCACAGCCATGGAATCATCTCACTTATTCAGTTCCCTTTCCTCAAGTGGAGACTGGGGCATGGAGTAGGCATAGGGGTGACAGGACCTCCACACTGGGATCAGGTCAGACCCCAGGGAGAGGGAAGCCACCAGCAAGGAGCCCATGTCAGGGACTGGGGTGGGGGACAGCTGCTTGTTTTTTTTTTTTTTTTTTTTTGAGACGGGGTCTTGCTCTGTCACCCAGGCTGGAGTGCAGTGGCCGGATCTCAGCTCACTGCAAGCTCCGCCGCCCGGGTTCACGCCATTCTCCTGCCTCAGCCTCCCGAGTAGCTGGGACTACAGGCGCCCGCCACTTCGCCCGGCTAGTTTTTTTTTTGTATTTTTTAGTAGAGACGGGGTTTCACCGGGTTCGCCAGGATGGTCTCGATCCCCTGACCTTGTGATCCGCCCGTCTCGGCCTCCCAAAGTGCTGGGATTACAGGCTTGAGCCACTGCGCCCGGCCTGGGACAGCTTCTTCTGACCCCACACGTGCTCCTGCCGCCTGACTCATCTCCTGAGTTCATGTCTGTCTTGGAGAATGTGGGGACAGACTTAGAAAGAAACACATGCAGGCCTGCCACCTAAAGACAAACCCAGCTGTCCCTGTGGTTTGTTTCTAGTACTTTGTCTGTTTTGATTTTCATTGAGTTAATACGAGCCAGTATCTCTTGAGTTCCTACTGCACACCAGTGCTGTTTGAGCACCATTGTGCACCCTATGCTCCCTCCTGCCCTGCCCTGAGGGAGGCTCTGCCCACCAAGAGACAGTGTTCTCCATGTCCCCCAGGTCTCTGCCGGGTGGTGAGATGTACCAGGAGGGGCCTGGCCATGATCCTGCCACCCTCCCCGTCTTCTGCCCTGGCCCTGGCCTCTGCCCTCTGGCTGCTGCCAATGACATGCTGGACCCCTCACTTGCTGCCCCTGAATCTTGGCTGATGTCTCTTGCACTGGCGTCCTCCAAGGAAGTTTCCTTCCAGACTGGGCAGCTGGTCCACAGCCGTGGGCTGGACTTCATGATGGGCCCTGCAGACACCGCTGTGGCTGTGTCCGTTGCCACCCTTGGAGATCCCAGCCCTACAGGTGGGTCCACTTCAGACAGACCGTGAGTTTCAGCACCAGACACTGTGACTACTCAGGTCCTGTTTGAGGGGATAGAAGTGTGGGTAGGGCCACATGGCTTGAACCCATGGTATTTCATTAGACCTGGAACCAATGTAGCCAGAACAAAGACTCTTCCCACAAACATCCCAGATTATTTCTCATCTATTTGTGTGTGTGTGTGTGTGGGGGGGTGTATGTGTGTATGCATATCACTGGAGAGGAAGAGTTAAGTTGAAAGGAAGGAGCTGCCATCCTCTGCTCTCCACTGAGTCCACTTGATTTATCTGTTAACACCGGGTGCAGCAGAGGAGGCTGAGCTGCTTACTTAGACTCCCCACTTGTCCACCCCCCTTACCTGTAGTAGAGATCCCATGATTTTAGTTTCTAAGTTACTGAAGCTGTAAAATCATTTAAAGAATATGTATTTAGATGTATATTTTGTCCAGAATCGTGTGATTTCTCACTTTGTAAGGAGGAAATTGGCTCTATGAAATTTCTTTTTTTTTTTCTGAGATGGTGTCTTAGTCTGTCGCCCAGGCTAGAGTACAGTGGCACAATCTCGGCTCACTGAAACCTCTGCCTCCAAGGTTCAAGCGATTCTCCTGCCTCAGCCTCCCGAGTAGGTGGAACTACAGGCACCTGCCACCACACCCGGCAAAATTTTCGTATTTTCAGTAGAGACGGGGTTTCACCATGTTAGCCAGACTGGTCTCAAACTCCTGACCTCACGTGATCCACCCACCTCAGCCTCCCAAAATGCTGGGATTATAGGTGTGAGCCACTGTGCCCAGCCAAATTCACCTATATTTAATATTCTATGGGTATATACATCTGTTCTCTTCAGCTTTTTTTTCTTCTTGGAGCTTTTCCATGCCTTTCCTTTTTCTTTTTACGTTGTCTGTTTTTATCACATTTTTAACATCTTCCAGCATTTGAAGCATCCCATCTAAAAACTCACTGTTGGGGGCCCTCCATTTTCCTTTTCCCATCCAAGTGACAGCTCCCTAGGCCTGGAGTGAAGCCACTGTCCACAGTGCTCCCGTGCTGCGTCCCTGGGTTTACTCCAGGGTGTCCTGAATTTCAGGTCTGGTTCTTTCTTTATTTGACTCCCTTGTTTTGTTTGCCAACGGTTTCAGTTAACTTTTCGAGAAAGAGTGCCTGCAAGGTAAATCATCCGAGTCCTCATTTGTTCGAAAAATGTCTTTAGTCTGTTCTCAAGTTTGGTTAACAATTTTGCAAGGACAGAATTCTGAGTTGAAATACTTTTTACCCCTCATAATTTCTTGGAGCTTTTAGATTCTTTTTTTCTTTTTTTTTTTTTTTTTGGTCTTAAAGTTCTGAAATTTCACACTGAGGGTCCGAGGTGTGGGTCTTTTTACTTCATCTTGCTGTTAAGACTTTAATCTTAAAGAATAAGGTCTCCTGACTGGGCGCAGTGGCTCACGCCTGTAATCCCAGCACTTTGGGAGGCCGAGGCAGGCGGATCATGAGGTCAAGACATCGAGACCAACCTGGCCAATATGCTGAAACCCCATCTGTACTCAAAAATATTAAAAAATTAGCTGGGCATGGTGGCGTGCGCCTGTAGTCCCAGCTACATGGGAGGCTGAGGCAGGATAATCACTTGAACCCGGGAGGTGGAGGTTGCAGTGAGCCGAGATTGGACCGCTGCACTCCAGCCTGGGTGACAGAGTGAGGCTCTGTCTCAAAAAATAATAATAATAAGGTCTCCTGTAAGCTCTGGGCATTTTTTTCTAATATCCTTTGATAGTATCTTTGATAAGTTCCTGCTTCCATGTTTTCAGCTCTCTCTTTAAAGCACAAGTGTTATTTGGATGTTGGAACTCTGGGACCAGTCTCCCAGAGAATTTACCTTTTATCTTGTATTTTTTTAATTGCATGTGTGTTTTGGGTATTTCTTAAATTCTGTTATCTGATTTTTTTGTTTTAACAGTTGTATATCTTTTTTTTTTTTTTTTTTGAGACGGAGTTTCGATCTTGTTCAGCCTGGGCGACAGAAAGGCGAGACCCCGTTCTCAAAAAAAAAAAAAAAAAAAAAAAAAAACCCGTCTCTACTAAAAAATACAAAAAACTGCGGGCGCGGTGGCGGGCGCCTGTAGTCCCAACTACTCGGGAGGCTGAGGCAGGAGAATGGCGTGAACCCGGGAGGCGGAGCTTGCAGTGAGCTGAGATCCTGCCACTTGCACTCCAGCTGGCGGGCAGAGCGAGACTCCGTCTCAAAAAAAAAAATAAATAAAATAAAAAATACAAAATTAGCCAGCATGGGTGCAACATGTCGCCTGTAATCCCAGGGTACTTGGGAGGCTGAAGGCAGAAGAATCGCTTGAACCTGGGAGGCAGACATTTCAGTGATGCCGAGCCGAGATCGCGCCATTGCACTCCCAGCCTGGGGCAACAAGA